TGGAGCGGCACATGTGAGGCTGGCTGAGGGCACATTGGACGCGTCTCGGACGAAAATCGGTATGGGGTTTTTAATCGGTATGCGCGGCAAAAATTTTGCGATAAAAGTAATCGTTATGCGGAAAAATCGCTATGTGATGCCATCGTTATGCGGGGGTCCACTGTACTATATTATATATATACTATTATATATATATACTATTATATATATATATACTATTATATATATATACTATATTATATATATATGTACTATATTTTTATGTATGTATGTATATATATATATATATATATATATATATATTATATATATATATATATATATATATATATAAATATATATATATACACACACCAGGAAAGTGTACGGTAGGGTTATAATTGAAAGAATTAGGGTAAGACAGAACGTATGATTGCGGATGAGCAAGGAGGTTTCAGAGTGGTAGGGGATGTGTAGATCAATGTTGACATTTGAAGCATATATGTGAACAGTATTTAGATAAAGTAGGGAAGTTTTTATGCCTTTATGGATTTAGAAAAGCATATACATAGAGTGGCTAGAGGAGCAACGTGCAGATGTTACAAGTATAAATGGGAATAGGTGTAAGTTATTAAATGGGCTTTAAGAGTTTTTTATGAGGAATAGTGAGGCTCAGGTAGGGTGGTGTGAGAAGAGAGGGAGAATATCTTCCCGGTAAAGTAAGGTTCTTAGACAGGATGTGTAATGGCGACCATGGTTGTTTAAATATATTTATGATGGGTTGTAAAGAAGTAAATGCTAGGGTGTTCGGGAGAAGGTTGGAAATTAAATTTTGGGAATCAAATTCCAAAATGGGAATTGACACAGTTTACTTTTTGCTGATGATACTGTGCTTATGGGAGATTCAAAAGAAAAATTGCAAAGGTTATGGGATAGTTGGGAATGTTTGTAAAGGTAGAAAAGTTGAAAGTGAACATAGAAAAGATAAGGTGATGAGGGTATCAAATGATTTAGATACAGAACAATTGGATATCAAATTGGGGAGGGGGAGTATGGAAGAAGTGAATGTTTTCAGATACGTGGAATTGGACCGTGCCGGCGGATGGATTTATGAACGATGATTTAATCATAGAAATTGATAATTAGACACTCGTGGCAAGACTCTTGGGTATCTTATTGAAAAACCGTTTTGCCACGCAGTGGCTTCATCAGTCCATACAAAGGAGAATCTTGAAGAACAGGAGGAGAAATGAGTAATCATCCCTCAACCTTGAGTCGATGTGGTCAGTCCATCATCTTGATTCTCCTTTGTATGGACTGATGAAGCCACTGCGTGGCAAAAAACGTTTCTTCAATAAAGTGAGTACCAAGAGTTGGCACCTGTGTCTAATTTATCACCATTCGTTCTCTGAACCATTCATCTACATATAATAAACATAGAATTGATGGAGGGAAAAAAGGTGAGTGGTGACTTGAGGTAATGTGGAGTCAAAAAATGTTATCTAAGGAGTGCCTAAAGAAAGTGAATGTATGAAAGTATAGTAGTACCACAACTCTTATATGGGTGAGAATCTTGGGTGGTAAATGCATGCAGCAAGGAGAAACGGTTGGGAGGTAGTGGAGAATGCTCTGTTTTAATTTAAGGGCAATAGTTGGTGTAAATTTTTAGGCAAGAGAAAATATATTTTAATTTTCGGATTCGGGGGAGGGAGAGCAGGGGAAATTAGGACAAAAGGTGTGGAAGTTTCATTGGAAGAAGTAACAGTGGTCCCCTCGTTGTTCCGTAATAAATAATCCCGTTCCTGGAGCCGGTACTATAAACGAAAAATTACGATTTACGAATCAATTTTCCCCCATAAGAAATAATGTAAATACAATTTTACCGATCCCCTGACACCCAAATCAATTAAAATTTTTTTTTTTAAACATGAAATGTACATGTAGTACATAAACAATACAAAGGGAAATGATGAATGATACATAACAGCATAACACTTACCTTTAATGGAGATTCTTCCTTAGTGTATGGGATACTGGAGGAGGAGAGAGTGGATTGTTTATAGTAGTGAAGGGGAATCCCCTTCCATCAACACCTCAGGTACCATTGGCTTTTCTGGGGTTGCTTCTCTTCTCTGTTTCTAATGCCACTAGGACCACCTTGAGTTCACTGGAGTCGATCTCACAAAATAACTGTGGAGAGAGTCTCTGTTTTCTGGCGTCTCTTTAACACTTCCCTAAAATGGCCCAAGAATTTGTCATGTACATGTTGTCGCACCCTGGCTTGTAAGGGTGATGTTATTCTCCATATAAACTTCCATCTTACCCCAACAATAACAATCTCTTTAAATTCTGGAAGAAGACAACCTTCTTCCATCTCAATCCTCCTCCTTCTGCGCAAGATTCTGAACTGCGAGTGTTGCTCTTCCCTGCTGAAGCTCTTGCAAGCTCCTCAGTGGTGGAGCTCTTCATAATTGTTGTCTTACACCAATTCCTTCCACATCCTCCAAACTCCACACCAACCCCATGGAACTCCCAGTGCCATAATTGATTTTACAACAGACACAGGCTCATTAGGTCAGTCCCAAATACTGTCAAATCCCTCTTGTCGACACAATCTGGCCACAATTTTCTCCAGACAGAGCTCAAGTCCTGGTAGCACGTCCCTCCCAGCCATACCTATAAGGTTATGTAGTGGAGGATGCTGAAGGTGTTCACTTCCAAAATTCACCCTTAGGGTCTATGAGTGTCTATGGTCACAGTTAAGCACCTGTGAAACATTGGCATTTGTGTAGTTTTTTTTAAAGTTTGCATAACCTTGCTGGTCCATGGATAGGAGGAGAGGAGTGAAATCGTGGGCAAGAACTTACTGTGAGAACCCTAACTCCTTTGCGAACGAAAATTAGGTCATCCAAGTTTGAGGATTGTGCAGGTGCATTGTCCATTACTAGCAAGGCACTTGAGTCCAATTTATTTCTTCCAGGAGATTTACTCCTTCACACTAGGCCAAACACTTCATTGAACCACTCGACGAAAATTTCCCTCGTGAACCCATGCCGTACTATTAATTTCCAAAACAACACAATTTACTCCTTCATAACATTGTTTTTTTTCCGAACATCACTGGGATTTTCAGAATGGTACACTAGTTATTGGCTTCACTTTGGAAAATCCCCACTAGCATTAGCACAGAACATCAGCGTTAGCCTGTCCCTTCACAGGCTTGGTCCCTGGCATTGCCTTTTCCTCTTGTTACTGAAGGTCCCTCTTTGGGCTTTTCCTCAAAAGAGGCCTGATTTTGTCACAATGAACACTTGTTCAGGTTTCAGTCCTTTCAGCCTCTATGTACTCCTGGAATTCATTGCCCAATATTTTTCATGCCGCCTTGTGGTCCGAGACCAGCAGCTCACCATGGCCTTAAAACCAACACTGTGTATGCCAGTACGGTTCTTAAATCTCTCAAACCAGCTTTGCTGGCCCTTAAATTCCTCGCTTCAATTTCAAGGCTTCGCGTGTTGTTCACCACTATTTGCAGGCAATTGTCTTTACCAAAACTTCATCAAACTGGCCTAGTCCTTATTTCACAGGAATACACGCGTCATTGAGTATCTCCTGCAATTGTTTGTTAAATTTAGACACATGTGGCAACACTTGTGATATGCTTTATTGAGGAAACGTTTCGCCACACAGTGGCTTTCATCGGGGGTGAGTCCAACATGACTGATGAAGCCAACTGTGTGGCGAAACGTTTCCTCAATAAAGATACCCAAGAGTTGCACATGTGTCTAATTTATCAACATGTCGGTTCTATGAACCATTCATCTGCTAATTGTTTCTTATTTATCCACACCAATAATACCTTCTCAACCTCTTCCAGTACTGGTGATCTCATTTTTGTCAGCATAGTTACCCCTTTGCATCCTTTTTTTCATTTTTCTTGGCCACTATGGAACATAAGGTTGTGTAGGGTTTCTTATACATCCTGGACAGTTCGGCCACACTTGTACCACTTTCATATTGTTCAATGATGGTTTTCTTAAATTCAATCGTATTTCTCACCTTCTTTACCACAGGCTTGGCACTAGAAGCTTTCTTTGGAGCCATGGTAGCTTATTTAATACTTGCAAGCACTAAAATAAATGGAATATTATGAAATATTTCGCTGGAGCACGTGAGGGGACCTTCGCTCACTGGTAAACAATGCCAGACTGGCTGCCGCCCTGGCTCACGCCGTGGGTACGCGTCCCGGACGAACTATGACTCGCAAGTCAACCTATGAAAAGCGAGTCCATGTTTATACGAAAATACCCCTATGATTGGCGAATTTTACGATTGCCGGAAACTACGAAAAGCGGGGGACCACTGTATTAGTCAGAGGGCAGAAGAGGGGTTGTTGAGGTGGTTTGGTCATTTAGAGAGAATGGATCAAAGTAGAATGACATGGAAAGCATGTAAATCTATAGGGGAAGGAAGGCGGGGTAGGGGTCGTCCTCGAAAGGGTTGGAGAGAGGGGGTAAAAGAGTTTTTGTGGGCAAGGGGCTTGGACTTCCAGCAAGCGTGCGTGAGCGTGTTAGATAGGAGTGAATGGAGACGAATGGTACTTGGGACCTGACGATCTGTTGGAGTGTGAGCAGGGTAATATTTAGTGAAGGGATTCAGGGAAACCGGTTATTTTCATATAGTCAGACTTGAGTCCTGGAAATGGGAAGTACAATGCCTGCACTTTAAAGGAGGGGTTTGGGGTATTGGCAGTTTGGAGGGATATGTTGTGTATCTTTATATGTGTATGCTTCTAAACTGTTGTATTCTGAGCACCTCTGCAAAAACAGTGATAATGTGTGAGTGTGGTGAAAGTGTTGAATGATGAAAGTATTTTCTTTTTGGGGATTTTCTTTCTTTTATGGGTCACCCTGCCTCGGTGGGAGACGGCCGACTTGTTGAAAAAAAAAATATATATACATACATATATGTATACTATATTATAAAATAATGCGAGCCTAATTTATTCCCTATTTTCTTTATAGGTGGTCAGCCACAGATGATTAAGGTCATGGGTGGCAAGGGTGGCCACTTACCCATTCAGCTGACTGGGGTGAGTGCTGGTGGTTCTGGCAGCAATGTAAAAGCCACTTTTGTCAAGACTTCCAATGATCAGGTAATGTACTCTTGTGATTAACCAACTTGTCAGGACAGTCTTCCCTTCATATTACTGTGTTGAAGAATTTTTAAAGGTTGGCACTTTTTGGCTAAAGAATTAAACAATTTATAGCATGTTCTTGCTTCTGTCATTGTTTTAGGTGGCTGCTGATCAGGCATCTAATCAGCAGCATCTCAGTTTTTTGGTGTGTTGTGTTGTTTACCATATAGGGATTAATGATACCTTCAGTGTAAGATATTTGAAGGTCAATTGGAACAGTTTTGTTAGTCCAAATGAATTGTGAAAAATCATGGTTCTCATGTCTTCATGCCTATCTATAATGTGGGTACTTCATGGACAGAAATATATGCCCTTGAGTGTAGAACTTCTTAGCTTTGTTGATTATGCATTACCTATTCAAGTGCTCAGGTCTTGGGGAATTTGTAGCTTCTGGATGGGGCATTGAATCAACACTGTTCTCAGTAGGAGCCTTTGTTTCCTGTGCACTATACTGGGGTCCCCCTCCTCCCATTTAAATATACTACAGAGTTTGCTGAGGATTGAACCAATACAGTACTCACCCAGGCTACTCCAAAAATCTTGAGTCACAGGGATTTTGTGCATTGGGCAAGGACTAGGATTATGTTAAGAGAAGGACAAACCAGAGGGGAGTGTGAAGAAGCAAGTAAAATGGTGGGCTAAAAGCATGTGGGAGATACAGCTTTCAGATGGTTGATATTTAGTTTAATGCATGCTTGGAAGAAAGGAAGGTGCTTAAGAATTGGCAAATAGCATGGATAGCAACTTTCCTTTAAGTGGAAAGATATTAAAAGAAACTCAAGAAATTGTAGGGGAGTAAGTGTGTGGTATACCATAGATCCCTCCCGTCGTATATCCCAAATCCCTCTTCTCGTGTACTCCCAACCCCCCTTCCTCCATTAATCCCCAAACCTCTTGTCTCTTGTAAATACCCTTAACTCCTCCCCTCACATACCCCAAAACCACCTCCTCTCGCATACCTCCAAACCCCTTTCCTCACAATCTGCAAAACCTCTCCCCTCCCCTACCTCCAAACCCCCTCCCCTCATATCTCCAAACCCCTCCACCTCGTATACGTATCTCCAAACCCCTCCACCTCGTATACGTATCTCCAAACCCCTCCACCTCGTATACGTATCTCCAAACCCCTCCACCTCGTATACGTATCTCCAAACCCTCCCCCACTCCAACCCCCACATGTCTCCAACCCCCCTCCTCTCCGCACATACCTCCAACCCCCCTCCTCTCCGCACATACCTCCAACCCCCCCCTCCCCGCACATACCTCCAAACCCCCCTCCCTGCACATACCTCCAAACCCCCCTCCCCTCATATACCTCCAGACTCACTCCCCTCACACCAGAACTCTTCTTATATCCCCACAGCCCCTCTCATATCCCAGCACCCCCTCTCATATCCCAGCACCCCCTCTCCTCGTGTCCCCCCAAATCTTAACTTGTATCCCCAAATTCCTCTCCTTGTGTCTACCTGGAGGGTATTTTGGGGGTTAATGTCGCTATGGCCCAGTCCACGACTAGGCCTCCCGGTGGATCAGGGACTGATCAACCAGGTTGTTACTGCCGACTGCACGTAGCCCAACATATGAACCACAGCCTGGCTGATCTGGCACTGACTTCAAGTATCTGTCCAGCTCCCTCTTGAAGGCAACCAGGGGCCTATTGGTAATTCCCCTTTATGCATGGGGGGAGGCTGTTGAACAGTCTTGGGTCCCAGACACTCCTGGTGTTTTTTCTTATTGTACCAATGGTGCCCCTACTTTGTATTGGGGGGTATTTTGCACCGCCTGCTCAGTCTTTTGCTTTCGAAGGGAGCGATTTCTGTGTGCAGATTCGGGACCACTCCTAGGATTTTCCAAGTGTAGATTATGATGCATCTCTCTCGCCTGTGTTCCAACGAGTACAAGTCCAATGCTTCAAAGCTTTCCCAGTAGTTGAGGTGTTTGATACACATGTATGTGCAGTAAAGGTTCCCTGTACACTCTAGATCTGGAATTTTACTTGATTCCAATGGAGATGGTAATGTACAGCAATATTCCAGCTTAGAACAAGTGATTTGACAAGGATCATCACTGACTTGGCATCTCTTGTTCTGAACGTTCTCATTATCCACCCTATCATTTTCTTTGCAGTTGTGATCGTGGCACTGTTCTGATCCTTGAAAGTAAGGTCCTCACATTATTTTTCTGCTCTGTTGTATGATCAGAGTTTGTAGTTACTCAGTTCTAGTTATTGTCTCCAGTTTTCTATAGCGGACAAGACAGACACACACGACACAGACACACACGACACACACACCACACACGACACACACACACACACACACACGACACACACACACACATGACACAGACACACACACGACACAGACACACACACGACACAGACACACACACACGACACAGACACACACACACGACACAGACACACACACACGACACAGACACACACACACGACACAGACAACACACACACACGACACAGACACACACACACGACACAGACACACACACACGACACAGACACACACACACGACACAGACACACACACACGACACAGACACACACACACGACACAGACACACACACACACCGACACAAAACACACAACACACGACACAGACACACACACAACGACACAGACACACACACACGACACAGACACACACACACGACACAGACACACACACACGACACAGACAACAAAACACACACACACACGAAAAACACACACACACACACCACGACACAGACACCACACAAAGACACCACGACAACACACCACACAACACACACACACGAACACACGACACACACACACAGACACACACACACGACACACACAAAACCACACACAAAACACAGACACACACACACGACACAGACACACACACACGACACAGACACACACAACACCACACAGACACAACACACACGACACAGACACACACGACACAGACACACACACACGACACAGACACACACACACGACACACACACACACACACCACACGACACACACACGACACAGACAAAACAAAACAACGACACAGACACACACGACACAGACACACACACACAACACACACAGACACACCACACACCACGACACACACACACGACACAGACACACACACACACACACACACACACGACACAGACACACACACACGACACACACACACACACACACACAGACCCCAACACACACGACACACGACACACACACACACACACACACACACGACACACACACGACACAACACACACACACACACACAGACACACACACGACACACACACACGACACACACACACACACAACACAACACGACCACACACACGACACAACACACGACACACACACGACAAACACACACACACACACACACAACAGACACACACACACAGCCACACAACACACACACACACACAACAACACACACACGACCACACACACACACACACCACACACACACGACACAGACACACACACACACACACACACACACACGACACACACACACACACACCGCACACAACACACACACACACGACACAGACACAACACACACGACACACACAACACACGACACAGACAACACACACGACCACACACACACACACGACACACACACACACACTACACACGACACAACCACGACACAGACACAAAACGACACAACACACACACACACACACACGACAAAACACACACACACGACACACGACACAACACACACACACACACACACACACACAACACACACACAGACACACACACACACACAGACACACACACACAAAACACACACACACACGACACACACACACACACAGGACACCACACACACACCAGACACACACACACACACACACACACACAGACACCACACAAAACACACACCACACACACACACACACCACACACACGACACACGACACACACACACACACACACACAGACACACACACACACACACGACACACACACACACACACACACACACACACACCCCACACAACACCACACACACGACCCCAGACACACACACACACACACACACACACACAGCAACACACACACACACACACACGACACACAAAAACACACACACAACACACACACACGACACAGACACACACACACACACACACACACACACACACAGACACACACACAAAACACACACACACACACGACACACACACACGACACACACACACACACACACACACACACACACACACACAACACACACACACCACACACACACGACACACACACACACACACACACACACACACACACACACACACACACCCCACCACACACACACACACACACACACACGACACACACACCCACACGACACACACACACCACACCCACACACACACACCACACGACACCACACACACGCAACACACACACAGCACACACACACCACACACACACGACACACACACACACACGAACACACACACACACACACACAACACACACACGACACAACACGACCACAACACACAACGACACACACACACACACGACACACACACACAACACACACAACAACACAACACACACACGACACACACACACACACACACACACAACACACACAACACGACACACACACACACACGACACACACACACACACGACACACACACACGACACACACACACGACACACACAGCACACGACACACACACACACACACAGCACACACACGACACACACACACACACACGAACGACACACACACACACACACACACCCACACGACCACACACACACACACACACAACGACATACACACGACACGACACGAACGACACACACACACGACTCTCACACACGACACGAACGACACAGACAGACACACACACACACACACGACACACACACACACTCTCACACACACACGACTCTCACATACACGACACGAACGACACA